TGGGGCCAGAGCATGTGGAGTTGGGTGTGCTCGACAGCAGTGCTTCTGGGGAGCACCAAATGAAGCAGTGCAGATATACTGCCTGTTGCAGGAGGGTGCAAGAACGGTACCTTACTCCTCTTTCACTTCAGTGGAGCTGTACTGGTTCAACTCAGAAGAGGTTCTCACCCCATGACTGTTAAGGAAGGACATGGAAGTACTGGGTGACTCCTTTGTCTTGACAGCGGTCTCTAGACGTGTTTTATAAGGTGTGCACTTAGAAAAACTTGTCTGATAAAGCAACTGAACTCCCTTAGTCAGCTAAGAGACCTGCTCAATTCACTTTGGGTCAAGTTCTACCCTTGGAAATGCACTCAAAAAGTCACATGTGCAGAAGTGTCCTTTTAAAGTACAGGGTGTTACATGCATTCAGTAGATGTCTTTGCTGATCTTCTGCAAATCCAGTGGCACGTTTGTTTTGCACCACCATACACACAACCATGCACAATTTCTACTGCCAGAAGGTCTCTGCCAAGACCTATACTAGTCCGTGCCATTTTAAATGTATCCAAAGTCCCCTCATTTGATTGCTGGAGGAAGGGACCGGCCTCTCCCATGAAACTGGTCGATCTTCCCCAATCCATACTTCTGCACTGAACCATGAGATGGGGTGCACAGGCAGGGGCAGGTAGTGCTTGGAGTAGGCAGGGAAAAGAGGGATCCAGAGACAGGTACAGGGAGTAGGAAGCACACAAGGAGCAGCATCCAAATAGTAGCCAAGAGCCCCCCCACAAGGGATGGAGTGTACTAGGGAAAATATCTGAGCTGGACCTGAGCAAGGCCCCTGCTAGGTGTTACATTTATATCACATAATAAATCACAATACACCAAACAGTCAACTAAATTTATCACGCAATAGAAATGGCATTTAACATGTCTTTGTGGCCGGTTTGCATTACGTTTCCATTTGAATGTGTGACATGGAGGTCCCTGATCTCTAGTTGTCTGTGGTGTGGGCAGCTGAGGATCTGGGAGTCCCCCATTCCAGCTGTCCACCCCCTAGCATTCATGCACCCAGGTGTAGGGATGCTTTTTAATTGTCCAGACTCCCCATGCTCCTGGACCTTGAAAAGGCATGCCTTCAGCTGGGTTGCACATGTGACTTTTAAATGCCTAGGAACACTAGGATCCTGGCACTGGGGAGACTGGGATCTGACCAAGTTTATCCTTTATCTTGAAAATCATGCATCCTGCCATGCATGTCTGACAGTAACTCAATTTTTGAGATCTGAGGTAGTTTGTCAGATCCCAATCTCATGACTAAACTCAGTCTGCCAGAGCCCAAATAATGTTTTCTTGTTGATGTCTTTTCTTAGCTGCCTCCTACAAGATTTTCTCCCTGAATGTATACAGATCTTAGGACCAGTCCTAAATCTGGACCACAACTTTAAAGCTGCCATATGGGTCAAGTCAGAAAAGTGTAGGCTTTTCAGATACAAGTTTGTCTCTTTGGAAAGAGATTTTTCTTTCTTTTTTTTTTTTTTTTTGCAGTCCTTCCTGGAAACTTATAAAATGCATATGATTATCAGAGAGAAGCATTCCAAATCTATCATTTCAAATCATATTTAAGCAGCTTTTTATGTTCCCAACAGGAGCTGTTCCAGTCTATGGGATAAGTAGGTATTTAAGCAATTAATTTAAATGGTATTGTGCCCCCAGTAGACAGTCACAGAGTAGAGAGATGCCATTCCAGACTATACGTTAATTAGTTATTTACATTTTAAATGCATGTTTTTAACCCAACAGGCCATATTTTTACTGTGTAAATATTTTTGTCAGCAATGGCTTGGGTATTCTTGATCTTACTTCAGGGCAGAGGGATGGAGTAGTTGACCTCCTGTTGTCCTTTCTAAGTCCTGTTTTCTCTGGTTTTCTCTGATTTATGTATTTAGCATGAAAATACTTGTGTATTTCAGAAAAAAATATTTGTGGCCACATAGAGTAGTGTGCAGTAGTAAACCTTAATGCAGCTGACATTTTTCAGAATACCAAAATGAATTGCTCCCTAACGTGAACACATACGTTGCCAAAGTTAATTGAGGGAAAACCTTTCCTCCTTGCTGCTGCCCTCGCCCCGTTCTGAAGTATTAAAGTAAGACCATCAAAGTGTATTACATGTGCCGGTGTGGTGCCGGGGCCACTAAAGGATAACAGCCTACTACTGCTACTAGGAGTAATGAAGTTACTTGCAGAGTTCAAGTGAAAGAGATCACTGCTGTGAAGCCGTGGGGTGCAAGCCCTGCTGCTGACCTGTGCAGGGGTCTCATTGCATGACCAGACATTCAGATTCAAACCTGAATGTTTTGGCAATGCTTTCTATAATGACTTGGTATCTAGCATCTCATATCCCCGGATTAGAAGCCAAAGACCTATAGCTAATGACAATCTGTCAGGGGCTCAAACCCATGACTTCTAGCACCATTCAACAAAGTCCCCTATCACATAATCTAAAAAAGAAGATTGTTAACATTGCTGGGGCCACCTCAAGAGAGGCGATACGTTGGCTCTGTGCATGCTATTACACAGCACTCTCCACAGCCTCCACCAGTAGCATAACTAGGGCTGGGTGATGGAGGCACAGGCCCCTAGCACCGACTTTGAGAGTGCATTGTTATGGCCCTCTCTCCCCCAGGAGTCTTTTCCATGGCAGGGCAGCCCTGTGCAGCCTGGCTGCAGGGAGCTGGGCAAACACAGCCCTGTGCCCCACAGTGTGTCTGTAGGGGAAGGGGGGTCAGTAAGCCAAGTAGGCTACTCCCCTCCACAGGCTCTGCTGTGGGATTCACAACCCTGTGCCCACTGCCCAGAAGCATATTTGGGGGGCGCTGCAGCAGGACATGTAGCAGTTGCTGCCTGGGTGCAGAGAGCAGGGGCAGGTACGATACCGGTCCCCCCCGCCCCCACTTCCCCTCCACCTCGCCAGTGATCGACATAATTCCCACGCCCCTTGCATCTCTGCCCCGTGCACTGAAATATTTTGCAATGCCTCTGATCTCTGCAGGCATTAAAGTACCCTTACAATGCTCTCATGAGAGGCAAGGATTGCTAGAGCAGGATCATCCAAGACAGAAGTGGACACTCACTGAGGAACCCATGATTAGTAAAAGGCCTCCCTCACTATGGGGGGAAACTGTGTGGCAGTGCTTAGATAGATGGGGGCTCTGGTCAGCAGGGTTTGTGCCAGGGAGCCTAAAAGGGGAATAATTTCAGTATAAGCCAGGAAAGAAGCCACTGAAACAAAGACTATGCAGTTTTTTTGGCTACCAGAAGAATTCTGCTTGCTGTTTCAACCAACAGGTTAGCGGGCCATCACTTCAGCCCCAGGCCCTGCCGTTCAGATCGAAAGGCAAATCCCACCTTGCATTCAAGCTGCTTGCTTAGGCTTCATGAAGCAGGGTCTGTGAGCTTTGTCAAGGTTGGTGCTGCAGATTGGTAGCACAGAGTGACACTATGGTGGTCATGAGTCCTGGCATCCAAACCCCTCTTTCCACTCAGACTGGTACCTTGCAGGCACGGGCACCGGAAGCTCATATCGATGAACTCCTTGTGCGCTAAAAAGAGGGCTTTATAATGTAAACACTTTCAGACCCTGACTATACAGCAGTCTTTACCCTGATAACAAAAGTGCTGCATTGATGGCTGGGCAAGACTGGGACAAGATTTGTTGTTTTTTTACCCCAGAGTGTTTTATTCTTCAAGCAATACTGTGCTAACAAGCCACAGGTGAGCACTTCAGGACGGGATAATGCTGTGATCACGGGGGTGGCTTGGCAGCCATTACCCATTCATCCTACAGCGTGCTGCATCTGTTGTATAATTAGCTGTTCTTTTTCTAAATGGCTTTAAAGATCCTTACATAGGGAGGGCGAGTTCAACTGGAGAGGAAGAGAGAAGAAATATTAACAAGGAGTAACAAGGTGTGTTTGGTAGTTAGGGGCCTGAGTACACAATGTGTGCATGTTGGGAGGTAGATCAGTGGATCGGTTTCCATTTAGTAAAAGCAACAGGAGCCCTGAAGAGGCAAGTCTTTTACGGAGAACGCAGCAGTCATGTGGGCTTCCCCACATGTTCTGCCGATACCCTGATTTAGAGATCTGTAGGATTGAATGGATGTTTCTCCCTCTGGGCCTATTCTGTGCCTGCCTCTCTGCTGAGATTGCCAACAAAGGTGCTAATTCATACCACTTGCAGGGGTGGATTTTTTTTTATTGAAATAAAGACATCTGCCCACTAGGAACTGGACTGAAACCAGCAGCTCATTTCACACAGGCTGCTCAGCAGCTGCCAGATAGGAATAATGTCTGATCACTGCTAACCTGGGCCAGATTCAGACGGGTGACCCAGAGGTTAAAGCCTCAGTATCCCATTACCAATTCCCCCTGAGCCCGCCTGGGGTTAGAAACTGCTTTAGCATGTCTACTAAGCACCAAGATGAATGTTAGCCTTGATTGTAATGGGAGTTTTCTGTTGTTCAGGAGAGGCATTACAGCCAAGTGAATGACTGTGCTGAGCTATTGAGGGAAAAACCTACAGCAGAGATGACCGAGGTGCTCTGACACTGAAATGCGCTGAGCACTATGATTTTCATGGTGATTGTGGAAATGGGTTGTACCTCCCATATTTGTTAAATTCATACGGTCCAGTTCTTAAAGGCTTTTGGTATTGATGTTTCTGCAGCTGTTTGGAAGGTGCTATTTGCTATTAAACTAAGAGAAACAGAACCCTCTTCCTTAAAAAAAGAAAAAAAATATATAGGAATCATGCTTCATGTCATAAACTGGTCCATCTTCTGCCCTCTAGTAAGTTCCTGGGGTAGACACTCTATTATTTGTTTGGCATAGTCCACAGCATAGTTATCCAAGGCACTCCTCAAATAATTCACTTTAATGGCCATAATAATAATGACCATAACCATGCTGGTTGAGATTGAAGCACCCTGATGATTGTTTCTGGAATTGTTTCAGTTCCTTTCAGGTGTGGATGCCTGGTGTAAAATGTGCAGTGAAGGAGGCCTCCCATCAGAAATGCAAGACCTGGAGTTGGCCATCCATCATCATCAGTCCCTCTATGAACAGGTGACCCAGGCCTACACAGAGGTAAGTGTTTCCAGGAGAATCATGCCACCAACTGCTGACTGACTACTTAGTAATAATTCATATATATATAGGGTGGCCATCATAGAGGACAGTCCGGTTGTTCTCTGTCCTCTTTTGATGCAAAACCCAACGCCTTTATGTCCTCTATTTTTCTCTTGAAGAGAAGTCAACTCCAGCCATTATGTTCAATAGCCATTTTCTCTTGAAGAGAAAAATAGAGGACATAAAGGCATTGGGTTTTGTGTCAACAGAGGGCACAGGACAGAGTAGCATAGAACTGGAATGTCCTCTATGATGGCCACCCTATATCTATATCTATGCAGCCATCAATGCAGCACTAGATAGATATTTATAGATATATAGATATATGACTCTGCACTTTTGACATTATTCCTAACTGAATAAATCTCAGATCCCATGAGTCTTATTTTTTTTCCATGGTCTCATTGATACAGCTCCCTAGTAGGAGTGAAAGCTAATATACCTTTTAATAAACCTTTTCCAGAGGGATATGATCTCCTTACTCATGACTCCACATGTGGATCATATTTGTCCTCAAGTTGTGGGTTTCTGGCAGCACTAAGTCAGCTTGTAGCGGAAGCACAAGCTGCTAGAAACCTCCACAGCACATGTGAACCATAAGCCAGTGAGGCAGCTTGTGGACTGGCCAAGGAAAAGGCAGCTTCATCCCCTGTCTTTAGCATCCTATAGCATTGATACTGATAGGTACTATAGTAATACAGGCCCTGCGGGTGACTGTGATGCTCCCTAATAGCAGCCAGATCCTGCCCTGCTCCAGGGTATCACCCCACTGCCTCGCCTGCCACACCTTCATGTTTAAAAATAAATCTAGTTTCTTTTTATGACCAGGTTACGAAACTAGAAGCCATTTACCCTCAGCCTCCTCTCTGTAAGGTGTGGACATTGTGCCTGGGATCTGAAAGAACAAACAAATATCAAATCAACCACTGCTCTTTAAAACACCCACATCCAAGTTACTAATACTGAATCACTCTGCACGATACATGCTTCCACCTACGCAGTATATTTATTAAATGCAGTTCCTTCAATAAAGTATCAGCAGAAGTTGCACTGTTACCATACATTTCAGCACCATGGAAACAAACAAGGAATCTATTCCAGGAAAGGGAAAATTAATTGGGGCGCTGTGACTGATGTTTCCCAACTGCTCAAAATCCTTTCAGGGTACATCTTACAACCTTGTGGCAATCCCTGAGACCGCCACTGAAAAAAAAAATCCAAACAAGGCCCCCCGCCACTCCCTCCTGCTCTACACATGTGGCCTGCTGGAAAGCTGTTGTATGGCCAGCATTCAAACGACAACAGGCACATCCTGCATCGCTTTCATGAGCACGCCAGGAGACTGAGGGTCCCTAAGAACATCCCTGCACTAAAAAGGCATCACTTTTGGACAGGGATCTTGGAGTCCTAGTGGACTCCAAGATGAACATGAGTCGGCAGTGTGACGAAGCCATCAAAAAAGCCAATGGCACTTTATCGTGCATCAGCAGATGCATGACGAATAGGTCCAAGGAGGTGATACTTCCCCTCTATCGGGCGCTGGTCAGACCGCAGTTAGAGTACTGCGTGCAATTCTGGGCGCCGTACTTCAAGAGGGATGCGGATAACCTGGAGAGGGTCCAGAGAAGGGCCACTCGTATGGTTAAGGGCCTACAGACCAAGCCTTACGAGGAGAGACTAGAGAAACTGGATCTATTCAGCCTCCGCAAGAGAAGGTTGAGAGGCGACCTTGTGGCTGCCTATAAGTTCATCACTGGGGCACAGAAGGGAATTGGTGAGTATTTACTCACCAAGGCGCCCCCGGGGGTTACAAGAAATAATGGCCACAAGCTAGCAGAGAGCAGATTTAGACTGGACATTAGGAAGAACTTCTTCACAGTTCGAGTGGCCAGGGGCTGGAATGGGCTCCCCTTTCCTCAGAGGCTGGGGAGCTCTGGGCGCTCCTCCTGTACTCTGTTCCTCCTCAGGCTTAACTTGGCCCACTTGACCACTACCAACCTGTCTCGTGGCCTGGGGCTCCAACTCCCCTTGACACCAGCTCTCTCTGTGGCCCTGATTGCCTTTCGGGCTAAAATTGTAGCCTCCATCCTTCCCTGCATCCATACCCAGGCCGTGCAGGTGTTACTCTGCCACTGTTTTTGCCTTGTGGTAATGTCTTCAGCCTTCTTGGCTTTAGCCCACCATTGCTCTGGCTGTAGCCCTGGACCACTTCTTCTGGCCATGGATTTCTCAGCCTCAGCCCCTTATCTTTGATTGCACTAGGCTCAAGGCTCTCTGCTCTCTTGGCCTCAGCCTGCCTGTGTTTTGCTTTCTAGGCCTCTGGTCTTGTCTCACATGCTGTCCTAGCTCTGGGGTCCCTGAGCCAGACAAAGCTGTTCGCAGTCCCATCCAGCCTCCCAGGCAAGGCCACTTTCCATCTGTCCCTGGGTCCCATAGAGGGCTCTATGTTGGGTGCCCCATGGGCACGCTGTGGCCTCCTTACCACCTCCATTGGCCACATCTGGCCCTTCAGTATGCTGACAAATACAGTTCACTCATAAAGCCCCTCCTTGCGGAGTCTCAGCAACTTTGTTCCCAAAGCTGCTGGCTCTTGCAGCTTCCCCAGGTACCCATATTGCCTGGGTTCCCCACCTGTTGCAGCTCAGACCAGCAAGAATACTGCTTCCCATGGGAGTCAGGGCCAGATTAAGTTCTCTGATTGAGGGCCAAGCTTTTAGCAGGCTGGATGCCACCTTTTTTGATTGTATGGCCCTTCTCTTTGGCCCAAATTTCTAATTACCCTTGTACTTAGCTTGCCCTCAGATGTTGTAGCTTAAACTCCAAGATGCCCTCCCCCTGCTGCTCTTTAACCCTTGTGCTTTTCCCTCGCTGCATGTTACTCTGCAGCTAGCCCTTGCCCAGTTGCCTCTGCACATGCAGTTCTTTGATGCTGGCTTCCCACTTTCTAAGTAGCAGGCGTTTGGGGTCTCTGCTACAGATAGTCTGATTCAGTTGCCTTCTGATGGGAGTGAATCCCCGATGAGAACATAAGTGCCATACTGGGTCAGACCAGTGGTCCATCTAGCCCAGTATCCTGTTTCCAACCGTGGGGACTTCAGCTGGTGGCTCCTCCACAGAGCCGTCATCATGGGCATGTACCTGGTGCACTTCACGGAGTTCCCCAGCACCTGCCTCTTCTGCAAGCAGAGGAAGACCCTGGCACATGCCTACCTGAAGTGTACCAGGCTTCAGCTCTGTCTCTGCCTCCTCCAGCACCTCCTGCTGAGGTTGTGGCTGCATTACTCCTGCAGTACTGTTTATGTAGTCCCCATTGGCAGTCCCCCCAAGTCCTGGGAACTCCTGGTCAACCTCCTTCTGGCCCTAGCCAAGTTAGCAATCTACCTGACCAGGAAGGAGATTTTGACTGGGAGAACCCCCCAAGGACTGCACGACCACTTCTCTGTCCCTGGTCTGTTCACATCTCCAGGCAGAGTTTCACTGGGCTCCTTGGACTTGTTTGAGGGCCAGTGGGTGCTGTCTGGTGTGCTCTTCTCTGTGTCCCCCCTTGGAGCACTTGTCCCCCTGAACTACGCTCCTGTCCCTACTTCGGTTTTTTTGCCATAGATTTCATAGATATTAGGACTGGAAGGGACCTCGGAAGATCATCGAGTCCAGCCCCCCGCCCAAAGGGCAGGAAGTCAGCCGGGGTCATAGGATCCCAGCAAGATAAGCATCCAGTTTGCTCTTGAAGGTGTTCAATGTAGGTGCTTGAACCACCTCCGGTGGCAGGCTGTTCCAGACCTTGGGGGCTCGGACAGTAAAGAAATTCTTCCTTATGTCCAGCCTGAAACGATCTTGTAGTAGTTTGTGACCATTCGACCTCGTCTTCCCTGACCTCTGATCATGCGCGTGGCTCTTCTCTGGACTCTCTCAAGCTTCTCCACATCCTTTTTGAATTGTGGAGCCCAAAACTGGACACAGTACTCCAGCTGCGGCCTCACTAAGGCCGAGTACAGGGGGAGAATGACGTCCCGGGATTTGCTTGAGAAGCATCTATGGATGCAAGCCAGCGTTTTGGTCGCTTTACTAGCCGCCGCATCGCATTGCAGGCTCATGTTCATCTTGTGGTCAATGATGACCCCCAAGTCTCTTTCTTCCATAGTGCTAGCCAACATAGCACTGCCGAGCCTATAAGGATGCTGCGGGTTTTTTTTCCCAAGGTGGAGAACCTTGCATTTATCGGCGTTGAACACCATCAGATTCTCGTCCGCCCACTTGCTGAGCCTGTCCAGGTCAGCCTGGATAACCTGCCTGTCTTCTGGTGTGGATGCTTTGCCCCAGAGGTTGGTGTCATCGGCGAACTTGGCCAGTTCTGATCGCTTCTGACTCCAGTGTCCACATCATTAATGAAGATGTTGAACAGTATGGGTCCAAGGACAGAGCCTTGGGGGACCCCACTGGTCACAGGACACCACGATGAGTGACTTCCATCGATTACTACCCTCTGGGTCCGACCCCGGAGCCAATTTTCCAGCCAGTGGATCGTGGAGGACCCAAGGCGACAATTGGCCAGTTTCTCCAAGAGGCGATCATGGGACACCAGATCGAAGGCTTTTTTGAAGTCAAGATATATGACATCAATCTCTTCTCCCTTGTCCAGGTGATAGGTCACCTGGTCGTAGAAGGAAATGAGATTGGTCAAGCAAGACCTACCCGCAACAAACCCGTGCTGGCTATCCCTCAGGATGTTGGCGTCGGCCAGTCCATTAAGGATGGCCTCTTTAATAAACTTTTCTAAGATCTTCCCCGGGATAGAAGTCAGGCTGATGGGCCTATAGTTAGCCGGATCCACTTTTCTCCCTTTCTTGAAGATAGGCACCACATTGGCCTTCTTCCAGTCTTCGGGCACTACACCAGAGCGCCAAGAGTTTTCAAAGATCCGTGCTAGAGGCTGGGCTATGATGCTCGCCAGCTCCTTG